AAAATTGGGAAAAATTGGGGGGAAGAAAAAAAAAACAGGAAAATAAGGGAAAAATCAGGAAAATAGGGGTAAAATCAGAAAGAAAAAAATTGGGGGGAAAAAAAGGGGAAAACGATTTAAATCAGGTAATTATCAGGCCTGTTTTATACAACCCCTGTATGAATGAAATCTATTCCATCATCAGCAAATAAGAAAATTAAAGTTTACCATATATAATTTTCTGTACAGAGCAAATAGGAGAGGAACTTGCAAGATATGTCAAAGTGTTGCCAATTCATGTTTCACCGAACTTCAAATTTTCATAACTTTTCTATTTGTAATTGAATTTTGCTCAAGCTTTCACTAATATGTTTCTCTAATTTTTCTGCTTTTATTAAAACAATGGAGGATAAGGGCAGAGTAGATGTAGAGTAAGTTAGTAATAAATTGTGAATGGGAGATGAGTCACATGGGATATCTCCATCAGGATTGCTCTACTCTCCTTCCTTCCTCTTGTTTCCTGTTCATACTACCTTTCCTATCATTGACATTTGAAGAACTTAAAGGATAAAACGACACCTTCAGACAAAGTTGATGTTTGTGGAAATCAAAAAGAAAGGAAAATTCTTGTTCATACTACCGGTACCTTTGCTATATTTGACATTTTGGGAACTAAAAGGAAATATTACACCTCCAGACTAAGTTGCAAACTTGCAATCAAACAAAAATACAAAAATTATGAATTTTTGAAAATTGTTATTATTTAAATGTAGGCCTATACATACATGTATGTATAGAAACTTCAGATTGGCTGAATCGGATTTGCATGGATTTAGTAATTTCATATTCGTAACTTCCTTATTTTTGGTCTGATTTACTTCGAACTTTCACCACTCTGTTTCTCTTATTATTTTGCTTCCATACCAATAAAGTTATCATAAGGGTTGGATTGCCCTTTAACTCTGACTTAACTTCCTTGCTAAAAATAATTCATCTCCAACATGTAAAAGGGGAAATACAAAAAAAGAAAACAAAAGCCTGCCTTCTGACAAGGAAGTATTGAATGATGTCACTACACCGCATCCACTTTTGACCGTTCTTCCCATGTATATATCCTGCTACTACAAAACAAAACATGCCTGTAGTCAGGTGAAAGGAAATATTGTGGAATGAACATTCACAACATGATGATATGGTTTAAGGAAATCACTATTCTGAAAAGAAAAAAAAAGTGGTAAAACAAAGTACAGATACAACTGTAGAATATAAAGGGAAAATTTCTTATTTTTTTATTTTTTAGTACAGAGCAAAAGGGAGGGGATCTCACAAGATTATGAAGATATGTCACAAAGTTGCAAATTTGTGTTACCTAGATTAATCTTTTTTTTCTTCTGGTTTTTCATCAGATTTTACTCAAACTTTCACCTGTCTATTCCTTTCATTTATCTGTTTCTATTGAAACCAACTGAATATTAGGGTGGGCTTCTTCTTCAAATCGTATCAGTATTATACTTCTGAACATTTCCTTTTCAATTTCAATGTGATGGTAAAAAAAGAAGAAAAAAACTTTTATCTTTAAAGTTACAAAGTTAGCTCCAAACCACAAAGTCATATGTTCAAAATTAGATACAATATGTCTGCATGCCATTAAGCCAAATAAGGTAGATGTGGCTTGTGCCTGAAGCAGATGATGGACATGACCTAGTGCCAGGCGCATGCCATGCTTGCCATAATTGGAAAGAGTGGGCCTATAAGGTATGGCACAATCCAAACAAGGAGATGTAAGGTCAATGGGTCATGCTCCTTGTATGGCACATGCCAACCCAACACACTTCTCAATGGACAACAGTCAACCTTATCAGGCACCAAGATAATGTTTGTGTTCTTGTATATATGAGTTGATGCTGTTTAGAATGTTGAATGAAATCTTACTTCTAAGTTTTCCTGAAGTTTCACTAATTTGCAAAATCTATATTGTTGTTTATATTATAAGAAATGTACAGCAACAATTCTTTTGTTTTAACTATAACAAAATAAATTGATGTCAATGCATTTTGCATGATTTCAGTAATAAAATTATGCAAACATTTTATAACCATTAAAAATACATGTACATGTACCTATACATGTAAGTGACAATTAAATGGGATTATTAAAAAAAATACGGCAAATGAACCTTTTCCAAGGGAATTGTCTATTAGTTACAATATACATACACAATAGGCCAGTTTCGTAATGTATTCACAGACCTTTAAATCGCATTGGAGGGTTAGTCAAACAAAGAACTGGTGGTGCATAGCAGCCTACACTGTATGTGCATCGTACGCTATGTTCGAGGTGTTATAATTGTATTGTTTGCCTTCGATATTTTGAGAGAGAGAGAAGAAAAAAAGAGGTAGTTTCAAACTTGAATAGTAAATATCTGTGAGGTGTGATTTTGTTCTTCATACATTTGATCTTTAAAATCGCTGAGTTTTAGGCAAGAATAATGGGAAAGCATTGCTGTTACGGAACGTGCAATAGCGATTCACATTTTGCAGCAAAACCTGTTCCGCCGAGTCCCTGGTACAGGCAGCGCACGATACCCCCTCAAAAAAATAAGAATAACGGAGGTCAATGATACATGTACATGCGACATTGACTTGAAAGCTAGTGATGAAACAGAAGGCGAAGAACCAAAATATCAGTTAGCCGATATCGGTAATTTCCATTCAATTTTACCTTGAAACTGAGTACAAATTTGGACGTGTAATGAATGAAGTGATAAATTATTTTCCACCAGTTTGCACACACAGTCACCTCTGCTTGCAGAAGAACGTGCATCCATGCGCGCACCACGTGTAGACGGTGTAGGTACAGTTCACATTTTCATCATGAAAACAAATTTACGGATAAAAAAATGTTTGTGAAATGCCTCGCAACAAACTATTTCAAGGCAGCCGAGAAACGGCTTACGAGAAGCATGAATCAGTGACCACAAAATCAATGTTATTAACAATAGTAACGAGAAATAATGATAACAAGTCAACGCAAAGCATAGACTCCCCTCGCAGGGTACAAATGGCCTATATACGTCAGAAAAAGTTACCTCCAGTGGACTATACTATTATATTGTTAGGCAAGGAAGTTAACCACATTTTTACATATATAATTAGGTTTTTTTTGCATATTTAATGAGCTATGACCTTTCACCTTTGACCTACATACTCAGAAATCGAACTTGGGCTGTACATGTATTTTGATACCATGTACATGTACCTTCATATCAAATTTCATTAAAATTCATCAAAATTACTCAAGTTATCGAATGGAAACCAGATTTGCATATTCAAGGAGCTATGACCTACATTCTCCGAAATCGAATTTAGGCTGTGTTTTGATACCATGAACCTTCATATCAAATTTCATTAAAATCCGTCAAACAATATTAAAGTTATGGATCGGAAACCAGATTCGCATACCTAATGAGCTATGACCTTTGACCTACATACTCTGAAATCGAACTTAGGCTGTGTTTTGATACCATGAACTTGTATTTCATTAAAATCCGTCAAGCGTTCCGTAAGTTATCGATCGTAAACCAGATGTGTATTTTTTTGCATATTTAATGAGCTATGACATTTGACCTACGTACTCCAAAATCGAACTTACCCTGTATTTTGATATCAAGAAGCTTCATATCAAATTTATTAAAATCCGTTAAACGTTACTATTATCGATCGGAAACCAAATTTGTTACGCACGCACGCACGCACGGAAGGAGGGACGGACGGCAGCGTTACTATATCCCCTCGCCGACGAATAATAAAGGTAATAATGATGACACAATAAGGTCTTTATATTAATAAAATAATATTTATAAATAATGTCGATGACAGAGAAGAATAAGAATGATGAATAATGATAAACAAATAATTTTGAGGGGTAAAAATGAAGAAAAACAATGAACAAGGATAAGGAAGAAGAATGTGTGAAGAAAAGATTGATAAATAATGATAGATCAATGGAAAAAAAGGAATAATAAAAGTAATAATAAAAACACTTATGATGGCAAGGAAGAAGAATCAGGATGATGAATAATCGTTTAGAATAAGATTAGGAATTAAGTTTGATTATCATGAAATAAAAGTTCATAGCATTATAATTATGCCGGACCTTACTATTAAAAAAAAAAACATTTTAAAAATAAATTTGTTATTACATCTTCTATTAATTTTTGTTTGTTTAATATTCCTTCTTTGTTTTAGTTCTGTCATTTGAGAGGGTTTTTTTTCTTCAGCTGATTTATAAAGAAAACAAGCTTCCCCATTTATTTTGTACATAATGCAACAACATTATATCCATTTCATAAAAAGTTGAAATATGCATGAAAAGGTCAGCATAAGGCATGACACAAATGTGATGGTTACAAATGAGCAGCAAAAATGACATGACTCTTAGGAGGGCGCCTCCAAGGCCTCTCGCTAGTCCAGTGTATGAGTGTATGATATTTAATCTTCCCTCTCTTTCTCCCCGCCCCTCTCTTTCTTTCTCTTTCTCTCTCCCATTTACCCATACCATCCATCTTTATGCTACATTGCATTAACCAAGACATATTTTCATATGACAAAAACTTCTCATAATTTATCATAAGAATATATAAAATATAATAAAATGGAGAACAATAATATTAGTACATACATGTATACATGTTTAAAAATAGACTATGAACATTTTGAGAAATGTATGTGAAATGTATTTCACAGCAATTCTTCTCTTTTTTAGGGGGAAAGCATGAAAGGGCTTATGGTAATTGCCATGAATCAAAACTTTCTTTATTTTACACCAGGATGTGATTACCAACACTGTACATGTCAATAAATGTGCTGTACTGTTACAACAACAAAAAACAGATTCATAAGATGAATATCAAATATAATAATATTGCTTAGGTCAATAAGGTGGAAAGCGCTTTATGAACACAATTTTAATATTATTATTCACATACATTGTAATGAGGAAATGTAAGAAAAATGGTTAACCTTTCCACTGAGAGCTTCCTCATCGCTGACTTGATATGACAGATCAGTCTCTTCAAAGCCAGTAGCACACATGCGCTGATCAGGGTTACGACTATGATGCTGGCTGTCTGAAGGGATGTCAGGGGAGTTCAGGCAGGTTTGAATAAGGGCTTTCCCACTTTCACTTGTGATCATAGGTTGGAGTTTGCGTGTGGCAAAAGTGTAAACATGTCCTGTCTCACTGGCAACCAGCAACATCACCTGTGTTCCAGTCAATGTTGATAATTCATAAGCCTAATTTGAAGGTGGAATAAGAGAATCAAGAAATAGATTAGATCTATAATATAGAGTCTTTAGATATAGCTGGTATCATTAACGTTTATATGATTGTGGGGGAGGGGGCACCACTGCAAACGGTCAGGCAGTTTACAAATCACTGCGCTTGTTTGTTTTTTTTGACCCCCCAAAGCAGATGTGGCATAACAAGAAAAATAAAAAACAAATACGGTAAGCCTTCTATTAATGGCTTCCTATGGCTCTACAGTGGCAATATGAGACCAAAAAGGCACCTGAAAATGTGATACTTTTTTTACTGTCTGTTTTGTTTATCACAGAATTTGTGAGTAGAAATGTACATGTACATGTAAGCCTAGATCAATGTTGACCCTTTCTTTTTCATGTGTAAACGATAGTCTAAAGACTATAGCTTAGTGACAATTGTAACTGTCTCCATTTTGTAGAATGTGAATAAAGCCCAAGAGCATTATTATGGAATTATTATTACTAAAACAAAAAACAATAAACAATAAACAATAACATAACAATATAATGATATACTAATAATGATAATACTACTAATAATAATTGAATCATTGAAGCTGATGAGGCTTCCCTACATTATGTATGGAAATAAAACCATTATTATTATTATTATTATTATTATTATTATTATCATTATTGCAAGTATGATATGATTTGAAAGAAATCAGAAACTCATATTATTTCAACCATATATGCAAAATTGAAAATAAATATTCTTGTATGGAAAAAATCTATTCCATCATAAATAACAAAGAAAATGACATTTTCTGAAATGTTATGTACTAGCAAATTGGAAGGGAGCTTGCAAGATATGTCAGTTTTGTCACTTTGGCCCGAATTCACAAAGCAAGGTTTGAGCTCAAACCTCCTTTTGTTTCGCCAAACCTCTTTTGTTCTTTACAAACCAGGTTTGTAAAAAACGCATAAAACGCGTCATATGACGTACAAAAACCAAGGTTTGACGACAAACCTCCTTTGTGAATTCGGGCCTTTGTGTCTGATAAATTGTGTTTGATCGCAACTTCCAAAATTTCTAACTTACTTATTTCCAATCAGAATTCGTTCAAACCTTCACTGACCCTTTCCTGCTTTTTTTATGCTCCTATTAAAACCAACTTAATATTGATGGGTGGACTTCCCCTTCAATAAAACAAAACGAAATTCGAAAAAAGGCAACAGATAATGATTTTTTATGTTACTTTTTAAGGTAAACGATTATAAATGAGCAATGCACGAGGTGGGAGTGAGGTCCAACTCTAAACGTTTTCGACGATTTTATCTTAATCACCCTTTTATTAATATTAATTCTTTCAGATAAAGAAAAACCAACTAGGTCTACTACCCCCCCCCCCCCACCTACTTGTGCGTGTGACAAGGGGTACCGTCTGTGTATGGGGAAGGTTGACAAACTTCAGTTTTATTTAAAAATTCCTTGTTCCATACCAGACGGTTATTTCTGTCCAGAAAATGGCACGCAATGTTCATTACTTGTCATTACCCTAACAGCCTTTTCACACACAGCTAAAATTCTATAAACATGATTAGTTTAAAGGGCTTTAAACTAATCAGCTGTACATATGACATCATTCACACACAGAAATTTCGGTGCGATCGTTAATCGTTTCGTGATTACTACTGCTCTTAAAATGTGCAGTAGTGCCATTGCGCATTGAATGTCAGGTCATATCAAACAAAGCACACGCTCTATCCAGTTTAAACACGTTTAAACCGTTCACACACAATATGTCAAGCTCTCTAACTTTTAGATACAAACTTTGTATCTGCAGCCTGCTTTGAGGGCCGTATGAATCGCGACTTTGTATCTAGAACTTAGAAGTCTATTCGAACATTGTATAGACTAAACGATGTTCACACAGGGAAAATTTTCTTTAAAGGTGTTTAAAACTGTTGAGTTAAACATGTTTATACTAATCATCTCTAGATACGATGAATTTTAGTTGTGTGTGAAAAGGCTGAACTACACTCAGTATTTACAACTCAGTCAGAGTACGGCTAGGTCTACGAGTCGATCACATGAATTTGGAAATGTCTTCCTCACCTTTTTCATAATGCCTGTTTTCCTTTTGCTAAAAGTTGTATAACGTCTCAACTTGTTTTCAATAAACTCCATTTTTATCTTCACTCTTCCTTTCGTTTTCTTGCCGTGTTTTGAAGCCTTTTCAATGTTGTCCGCCATATCAGCGGGAGTCAGATGGGTTAGGCCCGGGCCGAGACAGGGATCATCCAAGTCATGGTCCCGGTCCGCTAGCTCGGAGCCCGTACCAACAGAGCTACTGTCACTGTCCGGTAAACATGATCCATGGTCCCTCATACCATTTTTCAGCTTCTGTAGATTGGAAAAATTAACACTTGACATTGACATGATTGACTTAAATCACAACAATGATATTAAACGCAAATCGTCGACGAGATCACGATTTTCTCCACGGGCACAGTATCTTGTACTTCTCTCGACAGTCAACACAGGTTAGGCGATTGCATATAAGGAAGTCGTCACAGTGTTATTTGATGAAATGTACATGCGCTAAATTAATGTAAATACTGTAATTTTACAATAACCTTATTAAAATTGTTAGTGCCGAGGGGCTAAAATATTCTTAAATCCTGACAAATTTCTATTTAACACAGATAATTGGCAAAATAGTACTTAAATTGTCAAAAATTTAGGGTTTCGCATTGATATTTTACAGTAATTATTGTTAACAGTCTAGTCGCACAAGAAAGGAAATGGGGCTACCTAATATGGCCGACATGTCCTCCAAATATGGGACTCGGTTTCCTTCTTTGGGCATGTACGCGAGCCGCATTTGTACAGAAGGGGTGGCGACTCGTGTAATGTATGCACATAAACAACACAAAGTCCATGTGCGTTTCGACTTGATTATGGATTGCGAAATATCCAAATATCGGTCCATGTACTATACCATAGCCTGCCCGGTTTTCGCTCGCTTTTCACAGATAAGTCTTCTCGACAAAATTAATGTTTATCACTACTTTGTAGCGAATATTCTAGCAAATCCCACCATGCCATGCTTAGCATCCCAGATAATGTAATCACAATATAGGGGTATATAACAATGTTTAAATAATTATTGATTTTCTCTTTAAGGTTTTCTTTGTAGGTGCCCTTTTTTGTTGGTGCCCCCCCCCCCCACCACTCTGGAAGTCGCTCCGCCGCCCCTGCTTGCCGTCGTACTCTGGCCTCTTTGGCTTCTTTGATTTAAAACACATCATTTGATGTTATAACAATAATGTAACAATAATGTAGCGAATTGGAAAAGAACTGTGGGAAAAATCAACGAAAAAGCAGACCTATACAGCAGGCGCGGATCCAGGATTTCTTAGGGGAGGGGGCCCAATTTTTTTTTCGTTTGCTCCCGAAAATTTGAAAATCGCGCCGGCCAAAAAGTCGCTCAGTGGGGGGGGGGGGGGACCCAACCCCCCAAAAAGGTAAAAATCGCGTGATTTTACATGATTTTTTTCTCAAGGGGGGGGGGGGGGGTCGGGCCCCCCCCCTGGATCCGCCACTGCTATACAGCTCCCAGAAGCAGTACTTCTCGAAAGTGCCAATTACTCGTAAGAACCCACAAAGAATTTTGTTTTGCGTACACTCGAGGGGTGGGGTGGGTTACTCGTTTATAAATTAGTCACAAGCGGAGCTCAAATTAATGATATTTTAAATCTGTGCGACAATCGGCGAGGACTTTGGTTGAAAAAGCGAAATGATTTCAATTATTTTTGCTCGATTTTACATCTGAAATTTCCACTTTAGCAAAATTATGGGTGAGATATGATTCTGTCAAAAAATAGTAACCCATGTTTAAAGTTCAAGGTCTTCAAAGTGGGGGCGCTTTTCCATGTTTAGGAATTTGGGGCAAAAAAGTAACCCATCAGAGCAGCACATCCTCTGCTCGTATTATGAATAGCGACCCTCATTTCTTATTATGAATAGCGACCCTCATTTCGTATTATGAATAGCGACCCTCATTTTTATAGTATGAATAGCGACCCTCATTCTGCATTATGAATAGAGGCCCTCTTCTTGTAATATGAATAGCGACCCTCTTCACATATCATGAATTCCGACTCTCTTCTTTGATTATGAATAGCGGTCCTTATGAATAATGACCCTTATGATAATGACCCTTTTCTCAAATTATGAAAAGCTGTCCTTATGAATAGCGGACCTTGTTGAATAGCGGACCTTATGAATAGCGAACCTTACGAATAGCGACATTGACCCTCACCACCACCTTCCCCCTTCCATCCACAAACTCACCCGCCCATTCTCTTTTTCTCAAAAACATCCTTTCCAACCAGGCGAACCGGAAGCAGTTTGGGATTGGGGGGCAATCATTCTAGGGGTTCACCTTCCAGGGGCAGTGAGGTAATGAGCAAAAACATTTGGAAGGGGGGGGGGCAGAAGAAAAATCTGCATCACCACCACTCTTACACGTTACATGCAGGTCCCGCGGAACGTTTTTCAAAGTTGAGTATTAACGATCAGGTATAGAGCGTAAATTGGCGTGGGGTCCAGGGCCTGGAGCTGAGCCCCCGGAAGCTCAGGGTTTTAGGCATTAAATTACAGTCAGATAAGCATATTTAGATACCTTATTTGTGACACTGACAGATCATTAATTTGCGGGGAGTCCAGGGGCAGAGCCCCCGGAAGCTCAGGGGTTTTAGGTAGTTAATTTATACGGTCAGATGAGCGAAATATCGGCCGGCACGATTTTCAAATTTTAGCACACTAAAGTTCAAATTTATTTCAAATTTCAAATTCTTTTCCTCAAATTCAACTTCTTTGAAACTCCGTTCTCTTCCCATGAAAATCGAATACCTCACTGGAATTAAAAAGTGATTTACCGATTGCTCCATTCCTTGATCAATTAATTGTGTTCCAAAATATATCTCCTCCCATATAACTCCCTTTAACGGCTATAATGTACCTTGTCTTGTGATCTCTTAAAACCTTTAAAATGTCTTTATAAGAAAGATGTTTATCTTTGTTTAATAATTTAATGAAACGTCAAAAGAAACTGAATTCAGACAAGTATTAAGAGTCGAGAATGGTACAACGAATCGTCTTCTTTCTGTAATGATTTAATGAAACGTCAAAAGAAACTGAATTTAGACAAGGATTAAGAGTCGAGAACGGTACAACCAAGGAGGATATTACAAACGAATCGTCTTCTTTCTCTGATAATTTAATGAACATCAAAGCTTCCGCGCTTCGCGCGAGACGGGGAAAACTTACCCAGCCTGCACCCCCCCCCCCCCCCCCCTCTAGGGAGCGCGCTTCGCGTGCTCACTACTGCCCCCTAATAATAAAATCCTTGCTACGCGCTTGAGAGGATAATAACCCAGGTAGCAAGCCCATGTGGGACCCACATGGGTTCCATGTTCTCTGAAAATGTAATCGTTATTGAGGGTAACTTGAAAAAGTTAATAACTTGGGAGGGAGGGGATGCAACCTGCCACACGCTTTTACCTCTTGGTTGCTTTGATCCATTGCCAAAAATATTTTGACACTTATCATCCCCCCAACCACGGATACAAATCGACACTGTTGAGTCCAAGGATAAAGTCACATGAAAATATGAATTTCCCTCCTAAGTGTTCTGTGTCATAATTAAAATACAGCATCCATTTCATTCCATCATCTTCTGTATGTTTTTTTAACCCACACAACCCTCTGTGCTTTAAACAACAATTCCAAATTCATAATTTTCAGACCTCCAAACTGGTAATCTAAACAGTGGCGGATTCAGGGGGGCACAGGGGGCACCTGCCCCCCCCCCCCCCCCGTAAAAAAGGGGGGAGGGGAAGATGGAAAGCGAAAGAAAAGGAGAAAAGGAGAAAAAGGAGGGGAAACAAAAAGGAGGAGAAAATGAAAGAAAAGGGAAGAGAGAAAGAAGAAGAAAAAAAGAAGGAGGAGAGAAAAGGGGAGAGGAGAAAAGGAAGGGAGAAAGGAAGAAAGGGAAAGAGAGAGAGAGGAGAGAGAAAAGGCGGAGAAGGAAGAAAGAGGGAAAGACGGAGGAGAGAAAAGGGGGAAAAAGGAGAATAATGAGAAGGGAAAAGAAAGAAAGGGGGATGATATTATAAGAAGGTGATTTTTTTTTTACCGGGAAAGGGGCGTGGGGGCACGAAATTTTGCAATGTGCATAATATGGGGTACCTCTTACCAGGCGTGTAGCTCCCCCATACAAATACAAAAAAAATGCACAAGAAGAAGAAAAAAAGAGATGGAAACAAAGGGGGGAAAGAGAAACAAATGAAAGATAATTAAACAACGATAGAAAGAGGTGCGAGCGCGTGAGGAATTGCATTTCTTGCATTATAAGAAGGTGATTTTTTTTTTTACCGGGAAAGGGGCGTGGGGGCACGAAATTTTGCAATGTGCATAATATGGGGTACCTCTTGCCAGACGTGTAGCTCCCCCCCCCTATTATGCACATTGCAAAATTATGCAGGATATTCTCGGTAAAATTGCGATGCTGTCGGGAAAATGAGAAAAGGGGGAGGGGCAATTGAGAGGGTAAGGGAAAGAAAAGGAAAAAAAGAAAAGGAAAAGAAAGGAAAGAGAAGAGAAGAAAGAAACAACAGAAACGGGGGATAAAGAGAGGAGAGAGAGAGAGAGAGAGAGAAAAGAGGTTAGAGCATGAGAGAAGAGGGATGGGAGGAATAGAGAGGGGGGATGTTGGGTGGAGTCACCACGTCGAGGGGGCAAGAAAGATATACGCATATAATATAATCATGACTGTTGTTGTGTCGGGTCCGCTGTGTCGGTATTCTTGCTCGATCCTCGTGTACTATATCAATGCAAAAGGTTGAAGTCGGTGAGATGTATTATGTCGGTCGGCCGGCAATTTTTTTTTCTTCCTACGAACTGTTACTATTTATCGGACAAAGAAACATTTTTGAAAATTGAGAAAATGATTAAGAGTCGATACAACCAATCGTCTTCTTTCCCTAATAATTAAATGAAACGTCATAGCTTCTGCGCTTCGCACGGGAGGGGCGAAACAAGAATTAAGAGTCGGGAACGGTACAACGAATCGTCTTCTTTCTCTAATAATTTAATTAAGTGTCAAAGCCTCCGCGCTTTGCCCAGGAGGGGGGGGGGACTGAAAAATAATCTAGTTCCTGGCCCCGGGTTTATAGGGTTAAATTTGTAGACATTGAGACATTGGAATTAATATATTTGTCGGTAATTGGTGGCTAGTTTTGTCGGTAATCGGTGGCCTCTACACCCCCCCCCCCCCCCCCCCCCCCCCCACTGAAAAGGGTCTAGCGACGCCCCTACCAACACAGTTTATACATTCGAGATAATTTTGCAAGTACTACTGGTGAAGTCCCATACCATCGTCTTTGTGCATTGTGCAGCAACGAATATTAGTTACAACGTCTCGCGACGTGACAGATCATTTTTTTTCTAACTTCTAACCAATTATTAGCAGCCTCGTGTTTTTTCTTCCAGGAAGTG